TACAAGCTAAATATTGTTTACAAACTAAATACTTAACTTGCAAGTTATTTTTAGTTAGCAAGCTAAATGTCTAGCTCCACATTAAATATTTAGTTTACAAGCTAAATATTTAGTTAACAAACTAAATGCTTCACTTGCAAGTTAAGTTTTTAGTTAGCAAGCTAAATATTTAGCACCACACAAAATATTTAGTTTGTAAACTAAATGTTTATGCCCAAGCTAAATGTTTAATTTAGAAACTAAATATTTAACTTGCAAGTTAAAATTTTATTTAGCAAGCTAAATATTTAGCTCCATGCTAAATATCTAGTTTACAGATTAAATATTTAACTTGCAAGTTAAATATTTAGTTTGTAAATTAAACATTTATCTTGAACATAAAAATTAGTTTATGTATTTAGTTTGTAAACTAAACATTTAGTTTGTAAATTAAACATTAGTTAGTGAACTATGACATTTATAAATGTATGAATAACATGGTGAAAATATGACTTTGCAAAAAAAAAAATATATATATATATATATATATATATATATATATTTTTTTTTTCCTTATCTAAGGCTAAATAAACCAAAATATTGCTGTTAATTTTTGATTGTGTAATTTTACAAACCGCACCTCATACTACCGTCAAGCAAAGTGGACATAATGTTTTGTCAAGTGTCTGTGTGTCTCATGAAAGCACAGCTTTTAATGAAAATCCCTGAAAATAATCACTGGCTGTACATCTACAGCTGATTAAGTTTTGGAGTCATTTGAATTCAAGATGGCACCAATATGGCTGCAACTCAGCCAGTTCTACAGACACGCCGCTAAAATTTGATGTGGTAGTAGCTTAGTATGGCACACAACAAATACTTTGAGCACAACACATTGTAAAACAAATTTGCTTAAAACTTTAACAATACATGTTGGAGTCATTGTTTGTCTGTTAGCAAAAATATTTTGAACCACTGGACAAATTTTAATGAAACTTCCAGACAGTGATAATTGGATGTACATCTACAACTGATGAACTGTTGGAGTCAATCCAATTCAAGATGGCCACCACAGCTAATCAAGATTTTCCCACATAAAAATGCTTATAACTCAAACAAGTTAGCAAATACTGAGAATAATTTTGGAGTGGTGTTAGGTGAGAGGGACCAAAACAGCTACAGCCTTGTCATTTCTCATCATAAGATGATCTTCTAAAATTCTGACATGAACTGTGGCGTGAAATACTTCAAGGAATGCTAGGCCGTTAATTATTTAAGTTAAAATGTTATATATACATCATCAAATTGAAAATAACCAAGATGATGAAATGCACCAATTAAACATTTAAGAGGAGTAAGAATTAGTTTCATCCAAACACAGAAAGACAAAGCTGAGTTTTACCAGAGTGGGAAAAAAATCCCATTTTTTCTCCCCTCAGCTCAGATTAATCTGCTTTGCTACCCATCCCTCTGACATTTAGGACTTTCCCGCGCTCCACGGTGCTTTCTCATTTACTCCACTGTTCTGCAGTTCCTCTGCTAATTTCCCCTCCTCTTCTCCACTTATTGTCAATGACTAAGGTTTTAATGATTACATCTGGCGGTGCCACAAATTAATTCCTGCCTCTCTGGCAAAAAGCTGCTCTCCACCTGATTATGCAAAGCAGGCCTACATTCGCTCCTTTTGAAGTGGAGGGAAAGCTGCTTAGAGATTCTCCCCTTGAGGAAACACTGCAATATGGAGAACATCAACAAACCGAGAGTTCACACAAAGGTCAGCGATATAGTTAACCCCAATGAAGCTCCACTTCATCTCCACATGTCACCACTTTGAATTTGTCTTACTGTTGGGGTGGTGTAATGATGTGCATGTTATCAGGCATGAAGCTATTTTCCAGACACGAAAAAGTAGAGAAAAAGTAGGACAGTGCATAAAAATAGCCATATAAGTGCACCAAATATCACTCGTGTCTATATGGCCAAGAAGAGCATGAAACCGGCAGAAAGCTCTTGCAGCTTCCCTATTTCAGAAATCATATCTGTGACTGTCTCTCATGAGGTTTCTCACATTTGAGAGCAGTACGCCAGTTTCCACACGTAACCGTCTTCACAACTGAATGTTTTTCAGCCTGAAATGCTGAAAAGATCAACCTGAGCATCGCTGCGTGCATTTACTTTCATTGTCCTTTTGCTTCTGATCGGAGCAATTACAGACTAATGAAAAGCTGCAACGCTGCAATGAAACTGTGTCTACTTTTTGCTCAAGCACGACACAAGAGCAGTCCTTCAAGGTAATGATCCACTGCAGGTGATGATACGGCTGTCTCAATCACACCTAGAGGAGGTACAGTGTGATAATGGAGCTGTCAGATGGAAGATTGCTTTCAGCAAGAATTAAAAAACTTGTTCAATCAAACTCATGAAGTAAAGAAAGAGCCAGTGTCTTAATTATGTCCAAACTACTTAAAAGAAAAATGTTCCCGCTTCTTTCGTCCGTCGTTATTTTTGATGTACTGTAGTTTGAAACGAATACTGACTGAATGGAACATATTGGCCATGGATAATAACATAAAAGTTTAATGATTAGCTTAAAGGTACTCCTTGCAATGTCATAAAGATAAATAAAAAAACGTATTGTAAGAAAAATCCACTTTTTTCTCCACAAATGGATGGTTAATGTGTCCTCACATCAAATACTTGTAAGCATTATTCATGTATTATTTCAGGAAGCAACACAGCGCAACCACTGCTTCACTGAAGGTTCTTAATGACGTTGTTGAAGCACTGGATGCTAAGGATTATTGTGCTGCACTTTTCTTAGACCTGTCTAAAGCTTTTGACACTGTGGATCATAACATCTTGTGTCATAAGCTCTCAGAAATTGGTTTCTCAGAACACACCATTGGTTGGTTCTCTACCTCTCAGACCGGAGGCTATGTGTTCAACAAAATGGAACTTCCTCCAGTTATTTAACAGTCAACAATGGTGTACCACAAGGCTCAGTCTTAGGACCCACCCCCTTTACAATCTACATACATAATGTAGGTAAAAACATCTCTAATGCATCCATACATTTCTATGCTGACGACACAGTTGTTTATTGTCGAGCTAAAACTGTTGCTAAGGCTTTCCAGCTTTTGAAATCTGCATTCAACATCATCCAGACACAGATTTGTTCCACCTCAAACGTGTCCTAAATGCCGACAAAACCAAAGGGATGCTTTTTTCAAATAGGAATTTGGTCCCAGCAGTTCTTCCTCTGATCTCATCCTCAAATGGTGTCACTATTGAGTTTGTTGATTCCTATAAATATTTGGGTATCTTGGTCAACCAAAAATTGGTTTATAAATATGGGTAAAAAAAATCCATAAATACGTTGCTTCGATGTACAGGGCATGCAAATTATGCAAAAAAAATGTGACTTATAGGCCAAAAAATACAATACCTATTTTAACACCAAGGATGTGCATCTCCAAATTCTGAATTCTATCGCAGCCAGTAAAAACTGTCTGCCATTTTCATTTACCGGTACCTACACAGAGTAAGTCCAGCGTAACGTACTGTAGGTCTCAGGATTTGTGCAGACCGACCTGTGTGAGTTTATACTGAGTGCGTACCCACACTTAAGAATTACATTTGAGGATATCTGGAACACCACTGGAGTAAACTCCTTCAAACTGCTCCATTTTATGTAGTGACTGATGAACTTGTTGGATTCTAAAATATTTTGAATTTGCTCATAAAAAATGGAAACGTGTTAAAAATGCGAGAAAGAAATCAAAAAAAGACAACTGAAAACTCAGCCGTGGAATAAGTCTTCGCTTAAAGCAGAACCAAACCAGTTTCTTTTCTTACCAAATGAAACTTCACAAACGTGCCTAAATCCTATTCTTTTATCTAATAATGTTCACCAAGGTCTCATTTTATTGGGATGCTTTACGAAGCATAAAATTTATTAGTGATTAAAAATAATGACATGCATTTATGTCTGGTTTACAGAATCATAAAATGATAACACTCTTGGTACTAGGATACCAAGAAGACATTAAGACTAATGTAGTGGCTAGACCGATATGAGTGTTTCTATGGCCGAAACCGGGGCTGCTCACTAGATATCAGGACAGCCAAAACACATCAACAATTCTTTTTTCGTTGGTTAACATGTACAGTATTTTAATTTAACAAAATATAACAATAATTGCTAAACTTAAATAAACACAGGGCGGCACGGTGGATCAGTTTGTAAAGCCGTTGTCTCTCCAAAGCTTCGATTTAACAAATAACTGTCACACTTACAGTTCTGCAACAGTTTAGTGTTGCTGAGTTAAAACTGCTTCAGTTCAGGTTTTCAGAAAGCTGTATGTATGTCGTCCCCGACATGTTAACATCCATAAAGTCCTGCTGCTGTTAGCGTCCTCTGTATTTTCTGCAAAGTGAAGTTCACAGAGTTTGTGGCGAGTTATTCATAAGCCCTAAAAACAGTGCTTCATACAGTTTCATTACACGTATGCCCTTTGGATAGAAAGAAATACTCTATTTTCTTCTAATTCGAGACAAAAACATTGGTCCCCAGGTCTTGCCTGGCTGAGGAACCACTAGAATTCCCAGTCTGCTGCTCAGTGGCAACAGGGATGGGTTTGCATGTGTCTGTCCACGGGCAAGATGAGGACTAAACATGAAGTATTTTGATAAAGGACTGGCAATCTCCTCCCACAGATCTTCAAGTTCAGCTTCAGGAAAGTCGTTCAGCACCGCCTCAACAACAGCACGGTTCTCAAAGCTCGACAGCGTGCAGGTTGAATACACCACAACACCCCCTCGACGCACTGCAGATAGTGCAGACCTACAGGGAGCAAGTAAACACAGCACTTTATGAAAAGAGTCTTTAAAATGACACTGCATTGATTTTACACATGGCGCAGCTTCCATTTAACTCTTAGCTGCTCTGAAGCAGTTAAACAGCTGAAATTATGTGAAAAAACAACAAAACAAAATTTAACGTCATCTAAACACACAAGAATGGATGGTATTTCAATATAATCTTTGTAAACAAAGCAGGAAAATGTCAATTTAGTATTAAGCCAAATTAATATTTTTATTTTGTTGTTTGGTGAAGGGTTTACCTAAGGAGCTGAGCCTGGAGCACGGGCAACCTGGCTCTGTCCTTGAGTCTCTGTTCCCCCTGCTGCTGAGAACCACAATACAGCCAGCTTCTGTCATTGGAACAAGGAGCATCAACCAAAACCTGCGAAACACACCGAATGAAACGCGACTGAATAACAAGAACAATTCAGTTACAGAGAAGTTAAAGTCAACAGAGAAAATGGGAAAAATGTTTTTTTAAACCCAGTCACAGTAAGAGCAGGTTACATGAGTAAAGAATGGAAAACTGATTATTGGAAGTAAAAAAAAAATGTATCTGTACAGAAAAGTAACCCAGACAAGCAAATAACTTTTATAACCTTTGACCTTGGTTTGTGACCTTGAAGCTGGAGTGATGAAACGTGTATGTGACACTTTGTCAGAACTTATGGGTGAGACGAGAGAAAGATTACAGACGGACAGACGAACGGGGACTGGAGTTACTCGCTACTTTGCGGTTCGTTTATCGCGGTTTTTCAAAGTAAGAGTGGACATGACACAACTGGATGATTGATGGATGAGTCATGGGTTGTTTATTGTAAATTAAAATGATTTTGCACCATGTGCGCAGCCCACAAGTGCAGGGGAAGCTCCCTCCTGCAGCTGATCAGCTGATCTTCTCTGCCACGCACCGGCTTTGTGAAGGTTAACCCTTCGCTGTCCAGATGCACTGACCGACTTTTGTCTTCCAACTTAAAACTCAAAGTACGTCACATCGTAAAATCGTCATAATCACAACATATAAAAGTGTTAAAAAGTTATTTTTAATTATTTTAGAACTTTGCGTTCAGTTGTTTCAGTGTAAGAAGTGCATTTCTGCTCCGTGCTGCAGAGCTGCGTGAAGGGTTAACCCTTTGACGTCCTGCTGCTCTTCTCTTCTCTACAATTTAAATACTGTAACATTTTAAATAAAACAATCCACGTTGCATGGATTGTTTTATTTAAAATGTTACAGTGTTTAAATTTAAACTGTTTATTTAAGGAGGGAGATTTGGAGTAACATGAGTGTGATTACAGCCTGGCACATGCCATGACAAAGTGTGTCCAAAGTGTGGGAGTGGTCCCTAAGACCCACGATAAACGAGGGAATGCTGTATACCATAAAACGTCCAACTTGGACGGGCGTATAAAAATTGTTTGCTGGCCAATCCTTGAGTTTTTCTGTTTTACCTGGAGAACAGTTTTATTGTTTTGGGCTCTGTGACAAGATGTTTTATCACCCTAAATATTGACGGACTCAGCATTCCAGGTCATACTTTCAAATCGAGTGAAGCGTAAGAAGTTTCTCCTGGTCCTTCACTTCACATACCGTTCTATCATTTTTACCAAGATGGCCGCGCTCGCCGGTGCCACAGCTTCACAGGCTCCGGGTGAAAACCCAGTTTTTATTAGTTTTTCAAATCGACTCTAAGTCCAATTCCGCACACTTTAAGCATGTGAATTATAGCCGAACAGAACTTATGATAGTGGTATTAATTAATAGTCCCAACTGAAAAAATGGAAGCTCCACCTCGACCAGTTTTTCTAGAAACATGAACATTTAAATAATTAACAGGAGTGGATTCATTTATACTAACAAAATATTCCTGTTGTAGCCAAGCTTCTGTCGGACAGAATAAATCAATGTGATGATCAGTTCAGGTCGTTAACTAACAGGGATTTAGAGGAAAGAGATCTAATGTTCAACAGTACACATTTAATGATTTTAGTCTTTTGTTCTGGTAAAGTAGTTGTGTTTATTTTAATACCATTTTTACGGTTAATGTTTTTAGAGCTGATTTTTGGTTTATTTGATTTTTGAGCGATGGGCGAGTTGACACTGTTTCAATGGGGGGTGTGGGTGGGCACCGAAGAAGCAGCAGGGAGGTGTGGAGGGCGACATCACTGCTTCCTGGACTGACGTCTTCAGTAGAAAGAGAGAGACACGAAGAAACGATAAAGCCGATAAATGAAAATGAGGTTGATAATTTTCATTTGTCATGCGATGAATTGATTTGTTGATCGTGACAGTGAGTGAAACACAAGCAACCTGTTGATATCTGCGGTTGCTGCTGCAGGCTGCTGAACTTTGTGTGCCACCGAGCACAGTCTGGGACTGAAATTAACTGAGTGAATAAAGCTCGAGCCACGTCCCACTTTAAGTTAAAGCATTGATTACTATTGTATGAACTACTGCTTTAAGTGTGCGTATGTAAATACATTTGAGACTTGAGGGGAAAAATTGCGGATGTTGGGTTCGTTTCATTTAATGTTTAGGGTGATTCTTGGTTTTAGATCCTTTGTGCAAGTTTTGTGTTCAAGAGTAAACTGATATAATTAAACCTCTTATACGTCAGGAGAGGGACCTGGATGGCACCCCAAAACCTTGATGCCACACAACTGTCACATTAAAAAAAAAAGTGGGGTGCCATTTTTCTCAGTGCAGAGTGGAGATCAGCTGATCAGCTGCAGGAGGAAGCTTCTCCCACAGCTGTGGGCTGCACACAGGTGCTAAATCATTTAAAATAACTGATTTTAAATAAAAACTCCATGCCGATCGTGCGGCTCATCCATCAATCAGACAGTTGTGTGTCATGTCCAATCTTACTTTGAAAAACCGCGATATAGCGAGTCTGCGAAAAACGAACCGCGAAGTAGCGAGGGACGTGATCGTTTCTGTTCAGTGCCCTGAGATGACTTCTGTTGTGATTTGGCGCTATAGAAATAAACTGAATTGAATTGAAAGAAAAGAAAAAGGGTTGTAAGCTCAATCATCCAGGTAGATAACAACAAAAAAGGTTAAATTGTGTCATCTGGACCAGTTACTTTAAGTGAGAAACATTTTGTCCCCCATCCAGAGGACTTCCTCAGTCTACGACCTGCCAACTAGATCTGTCCCATAGGTAGCCTTCACTGCTGTGTTTCAAGCCAACTTCCTGTTGGAATCTCAAAAGTTGGCTTTTAACACGTGCAAAACAATCAATCATCATGTACAACAATCAGATGTTTCAGGCCACATGGCCAACTTGCTGCTACTCACAGAAACAGCCTGAGCATGAACTGAAACCAATTAATCACAATCCACAACTGCTGCTCTGTAAAGTTCTGGTTTCATGTGTTAATGGTGGCTTATATTTGACTTGTCTGTATAAAAATCCTGTTCCTGTCATCCAGTTTCTTACAGTTTGGTCCAAAATTTAACTTCAGTTTCAGATTAAATTTTCCATTGTTCTACCTAAAGGTTTATCTTTAACGAGCTTTACATTTCGTTTGAACTAGCTCTAAACTTTAGGCATTTCTGAGTCGAAGAGCCAACATCTTTGTAGTAAAGTGACATTTTATAAGAGGTTTAGAATTTTTTTTTTTTTCATTTCAAATTACAGCTCTTTTGTCAAAGCTATGCTTTCTAATATTAGTCAATTTGAGTTTTTTGATTCCTCTCAATTATTTCTCTCTAATCTCAGTTTTATTTTGAATAAACACTTTTTTTTTAATTTTCTGCCAGGTTTATTACCCTCTCTTCAAAGGTTTGCTGATCTCACTCAGTTGTAACCGCAGCTTTTGAAAACAATAGTGTATCACCTTAATTTGTCAGATACAAAAAAGGAAATTCAATTACCCGGTATGAGTTTCTGTGAACACAGCAGGTATACCCACCTTGTCATAAAAACCAGGCTTGCTGTGCCCAAAAGACCGTCCGTCCTGCGCAGACACAATCACACTGTTGTTCAGTGAGTGAGGCAGGAAAGACTCAAGGGTTTTGGACAGCCAGTCTCGTCTGTGAGGGTCCGGTTCATTACAGCAGAGGAGCGCTAGAATGTAGCAAAGACAGAATTACAGATTACTGCTAGATAATAATGGAGGAAAGGGTTATTTGTGACAAATAAAAGTTGTTTTTTATTAATGAAATGCAGCAACAAATAGAGTAAAGAGTGTGCAGCTTTCATCCAAATAAAACATTTTGACATGATGAGATTTTGGAGAAAAAAAACTCGATGTCAATCCCTTCTTACCTGGAAAAATAAGTTATTTCATCATTATCATCCAAAGAATTGTACTATATCAACATTTACAAATGAATATTGCAACTGTGAAATAAAAAAACAATATATTTTTAATATATTCAACTTCCAAAAATCTTCTCTTACTTTTTTTGGGTTACATGATTCGATTGGATCATCAAGGCCTTTATAAAAAGATTTGTTTACCTGGAGTTGCACTCTGCATTATGGCTATAGCTTTGCCCCCTGGGGCAGAACAAAGATCCAAAACTTTGTCCCCATCTCTGACTTGCAAAGCCAGAACTGGAAGCAGGGAGGCAGCATTCAGAAGGTAGTACTGCTTCAACCAACCGGGCCTGTGAGCCTGAGAAGGAAACCGCAGCGGATGTGGGTGGACGTAACATTGTAATGAAGAATGAGGCAAACTGAGAATGAACTCTGTCAGAGAGTCCTGAGAGGTAGCGTCAGGTTGGAGGATGTAGTCCTCAGGGGGGCACTTTGAGATGTACGGAGGTGACAACAGAGTGTCTTGTCCTTCTTCATATTTAGAATTAGACACAGAGGAGGCAGCATAAGAAAGCAGTGCCGAGACATCGGTTTGTGGGGGCAATGATGAAAAGCCCAGGGACAGAACAACCTGTGTTATATCTGTCACTGTGCTGAAGCGGTTTAACATGACCCCATATTGCCAGGACTGAGGGTCCAGGAGCACTGCTCTGCAAGACAAAAACATTCCCAATAAAGAAAACGTAACATCATTGACTGTGCTTATGCTGCAGTTATTCTACAAACAAACAAATAAATAAATCACCTTGCTGATGGCCACAAGTCTCCAAGTTCCTCACTGTACTGGTGGTCAAAGTGTTCGAGGACTGCTGAACAAAAGGGTCTTTGTCTTGTGATTGCTTTTCTTGCCTATTACAAAAAGTTAATTATGTCAAAACTATTTATTTTAAAACAAAAATTAACTTTCAGTGAGCTTCTCATCTGACTGGTTTAACTTTATTTCCCATTATAATGCAATTGGACCCTTTACTTTGTATCCTATTGCACGCTTTAGTATATCGCATTTTATTTAGCGAGTCGAATCAGTTATTCTCATCCTGAACACTTCACTGCATTGCTGACATTGTGTTAACGGTTTCTGTTTTAAATGTGCTCTATAAATAAATCTGACTTGACTTAACCTGCATATGACAAATAAAAAACATAACAGAATTGCTAAAATGTAGAGCTTTATGAAATCGTGTTTTAATTGTTGCAACAAAAAAAAACTTATCAGATTTGAGCATTCTTGGGTTTTTTTATGATTAGTATTTTTACTTGGCTTTTCTTAAAATATTAAAATCTAATTTGACTAAATCCAAATTTTAATTCTTTACACCAGTACAATAAAATCTAGCTTTATGATAAGGTATCTTCATCTGAAGAGTTTATAAATCAAAAAACGACCTGAAGTGAATGAAGTTCTTCATATTTTGAGATACTGTAAAACAAATTCAGTTTAAACAGTTGACAATAAAAAAATATATACATCTTATACACCAGCGACCCCTGGTGGACACTGTGGATAAACCACTCCTGAAAGGAATGACTACAGCACTGTACAGGAACTAAGAGTAACTAAACACAACAAACACTGGTTGTGTTTACTTTAAAGTGAAGAAAAGAAATAGTCAAATGTCACAAACAACATCCAATCTATTCGAAACAAATCAAGCAAAAAAAAAAAAAAGAAGAAGCAACTACATACCTAAAAGTCAAGCATAATATCACAACTACTGTGCAGAGAGAATAACCTTCACATCAATGTGAAGAAGACAAAGGAGATGATTGTGGACTTCAGATGGAACAAAAACACCTACACCCCCCTGAACATAAGAGGATCTGCGGTGGAAGTGGTCTCCAGCTACAAGTACTTGGGTGTACACATGAATGACAACCTCAGCTGGAGCAACAACACCACCAGCCTGATCAAGAAAGCTCATCAGAGACTCTACTTCCTCAGACGGCTGAGGCGAGCTGGTCTGGGAAGCTCAGTCCTCACCTCCTTCTCCAGGTGTGCAGTGGAGAGCATCCTGTGCTCGAGCATCAATGTGTGGCATGGAGGCTGCACAGCTGCAGAAAGAAACGCTTTGCAGAGAGTGGTGAAGGCTGCACAGAAATCTGTCGGAATCAACCTCCCAACCATCACAGACATCTACACCGCCAGATGCAGGAAGAGGGCCACCTGCATCATGAAGGACCTCACTCACCCAGCACACACACTTTCTGCCCCACTCCCCTCAGGCCGGAGGTTAAGGAGCATTAAGTGTAGAACCACTAGACTGAGGAACAGCTTCTACCCTGAGGCTGTTAGACTCATGAATCTCTAACTAGAATAATCACTGTGAAAAACCATATCATGTTGCTGCTGATCTGTTTCATGTTGCTGCTGATCTGTTTCAATGTTGATGTGTTCATGCGTGCACATCTGCTCACAGACTCATGTTCATGTTTGTGCTGATGTTCAATGTTTTATGTTATGAGTGCTTAGTGTATATTTAGTTGATGTTTTTCTTAGTTCATATCTTAGATGTTATTACTGTTTTTCTTATACATTTTATTGTTGGATGTAACTGGGACCCTGTGTACATAATTTCGCTCCACCACATGTACCACATGAGGTGCGAATGACAATAAAGAAACTCTGACTCTGACTCTAACAAATTTGGTCAAATTCACAGCGCTTTATTAAACATGCATTCTGAACTGCAGCTCAGAAATGATACTGTATTTTGTTTAAATTTTTAAGACTGTTATGCTATGGAGGTCCTGTTTATGTTTATTTATGCTTTCTTTTATGATTGTCTACTGTTGTCGTTGTCTACTGTTGTCATCTTTCTTTGTTAAAAACAGGTCTCTTGAATGAGTCCTCGAAGCTCAGTGAGACTAACCTGTATAAATATAGGTTGAATGAATGAGTCACAAAATGATGATAAACCCTAACGCGTTCAGCGCTATTAAAGCCAGGCAAAGACCTACATAAAAATATGAAACACTGAAATAAATCTTAAATAAAAAAGATTAAGTACCTTGTTTTTCAAAGATCCCAGAGCACCATCTGAAACTGTGTGGCAGTTAAATGATAGCAGTACCGGGTTTACCTTCCTTGTTTCAAGCCAGATTTTACTCCACATATTCTAAAGTCAGTGTGCTGATGCATTCTACATAACAGACACGCCAAAATAAACCTAATTTCATTAACCTGATTTAAACATTTTTAAATGTGACACTCGCGAGTACGTTTTTTAAATTCGTCCCCCGTGACCACACGACTAGTCATTTAGTTCCGCTTATAAGCTAAAACAAAAATCTTTCATTTTTAGAGCTGGATATTTTAATTTAAATTATAAATAATGCTTTTCATTCAACTTTAAGACGTTATATTGTTACAATTAATGTTACTTTGGGGCTCGGGCGTTTCACTTGACATTTCTGACGTGTTTTGACGTTCGTTAGCTAGTTAAAAATACAAACTACAGTTCTTCATTTTCAAATTTTAGATTCGTTTAAATAAAGCAATTGTCACATATGCCTTTATTTCGATGATTATATTTAACTTATCTATTTAAATTACTTTGATTTTAACTGACTTGACTTAAACGTGACTTTCGCCAGTTCTCGTTAGCACCGGGATTTCTCGCGAGAATTTACCTTCAAATGGGTGACGTCACCAAATGCTTCTTTTTCATTCATTAATCCCATTGAGCCTCGAGGACTCATTTACAAGAGACCTGATTTAAAAAAAAAGAGTGATAACAATGGACAGCAACAACAATAGACAATCATAAAAGAGGCATACAGATTTTTTTTTTTTTTTACAAATTTACAAGCTGGCAAAAAAAGTAGCAAAAACAGCTAGATTATAAAGCGCATGTAGAAAACTAAAAACAGGCACATGTCTGCGTTGGTTTTTGCCAGGAGTCCAAGAGATTCTTAAAGCCACTTACAGAGGTCAAGATCGAGAGCTTCAGATCTTTTTGTAAGATATTCCAAGAAACAGGAGCGGAGTAGAAGGCCCTTTTGCCTAGTTCAATCTGCACGGAGGGAACACTGCAGGTAATAATGTCCTGAGTGCGCACACTGTAGTTGCACTCACGCAGAGACATGTAGGAGATGTATGAAGGCAACAGCCCAAGAAGTGATTTAAAGATGAAAATGTACCAGTGGGAGAGTCTGCGTGAAGTTAATGATGTCCAGCTAACCAGTGAATACTGGGTGCATCTGCAGGGTTTTTGTAGGAGCATTTATGTAAATAATGTCACCGTAATCGATGGAGGGAAGGAAGGTCACAGTTACAAGGCATTTCCTAACGTTCAGTTAGACAATTCTTGCAAATTTTAATGAGATTAATATAGTTTATAATTCAGATCTTCATTTATGTACTTCCACACTGGCTGCACATAAAACTTAAAGTTGGCTGATCTCTCAAATGTATTCTAACATGTCTGCCATTCATTTATTGCATATTCAACTTTGAATGTTTTTGTTTTATTTAGCACCACAAACGTGTCTTAATTTTTTTTTTACTCCAACTAAAAAAACAGACTTAATCTTTAATAAAAATCTGCAGCTGCTAAGGGGACATGGCATTATTATATACTGGTGTAGAAAAATAAATACCACAGAAACAAAGACGTGTGAAGAGGTAAATGTTTTATTTCTGATATTGGCTGCTTATTTGCTAACAAAAACATTTGACTGAATACAGTATTTCAGATCCTTCATTTAAAATGATTTGTTCAGCAGGGATTCTTAATGTCACCAGATTAACGACCTTCCACAAAACACTGACAAGTTTAACCAACAAAATGTGCTGAAATCATTCTACAATTCCAATGTCCATCTCTTGTTAACATTATGATGTATCCTTGTACCGTAAACGCCAAAGTGATTTACATAGCAAAAAGAATGAGGAATGCAACCATCAGACAGAAGAGACCCATAGCTTCAGATAGAGCGAAGCCCAGGATGGCGTAGGAGAACAGCTGCTGCTTCAGAGAGGGGTTCCTGTTGAGAAAAACAGGCCAGACAAGACGGGGTGGAGGTTAAAGTTAGTAACAATGAAACAGTTTAAGCACCGTTAAAACGCTCAAATCCTGCAGCTGCAACTTCAGTTTGGTCAATTAGTCATAAAAAATGGATTTTGTATGCATGTTTTCCCAAAGCTCTTTTTTTTTTTTTTAAAGTACTGGTATTTTAAAATATGTCAAGATTAGTTTAAAAAATGTAACTTATTAAAAAAAAGATGGAATTCTGTACAGAAGAAAGAAAAGACGACCAGAATCCGACCACACTTAAACAAAGCACTGAATATAACAGAAGAAAAAAATGCATAAAGTACCGTTAACAATAAAGTCAATTTATTTTATTCTTAAGTAGATCCTAAAGAAGCACTGATGCATTCTTCTTAGCAGCTAAACAATTCAAACAGTTCTTTTTTGGGTTTGACAGATAATTCTGAGTCAGTTCACAAAGTTTAAAAATAAAGAATATTCAATCTGACCCTTAAAATATGCAACAAAATCTACTGGTTGTACTAAATTGATTCTTGAATACTTTCATCTATTATTGCTTAACTGAGTTCAGTACGTCCATGTCTTCAACTACATAAACTTGATCAGGTTTGAATAAAGTATCAAAATCTTAATGGTCGTTTTCTGGTTCAAGCTGCGCTTGTGAATAAACTGTTAAGAGTTTTTAAGCTGTAGCTTAGCCAGGACAAAAACAGAAAGAAAAAACTTTTTGTAGTGGAATTCTGGCAGCACGACGGCTCAGTGGGTAGTAGTTGCCTCACAGCAGGAAGGTGCTGGGTCCAATCCCCCGTTGGATCTGGGGTCTTTCTGTGTGGAGTTTGCATGTTCTTCTCGTGCTTGCGTGGGTTTTCTCCGGGTACTCCGGTTAACTCCCACAGTACAAAAACATGCATGTTAGGCTGCCTTCAGGCCTCCCTTGCAAAAGAGATCTGTGATCTCAACGGGATTTGCCTGATTAAATAAAGGTTAATAAATAAATAAATCGCCCTGCGATGGACTTGCGACCCGTCCAGGGTGTACCCCGCCCCTCGCACACTGATTGCTGGACATGGGCACCAGCAACCCCCGTGACCCAAAATGGAACAAACGGGTAAAGAAAATGGATGGAAATAAATAAATCTGATGCCGTCCTAAACAACTTACCTGGCATAGCCAATAATAAGGCTGCCGAACACAGTTCCGATCCCGGCTCCAGATCCAGCCACACCCACAGTGGCAGCTCCTGCTCCAATGAACTTTGCAGCTGTGTCAATATCACGGCTAACGGCGCTGGTCTGGAACCCCCGCACTGCCACCTGCTGCTGGGAGGCTGCAAGACTCAGCGGTGCCAGGAGTGAAGCAGTCTGAAACGTGCCAATCAAGTGATTCAAGCACAAAACAAACGTATCATTAAAAAAAAAAACCCACTCATTATCTTTAAGAAAAGTTTTACTTGTTGTTGTGATATGGTGGGTGATTGAGGTGATGTGAAATATGTGCCTCGGCTACATGTTTCACTACAATAGATGAGGTTGAGATATAGAAAACAATTCCACTACGGTAGTTCAGCAAAAACTAAGAATAAAAAAAAATGCAACTCTTGGTACTGAAAAGATTCTTACTTAAAATAGTCAAATAACATCAATAAGATGTTGGAAAAGTAGATCCTCCTAGATCATGTAGAACATGTCCTGATGCATGCTCAATAATCCAGGAAGAAGAATCTAACAAGGTTAAGCCAGGTCATCTGGACGGATCCGTCTTTGTTGAAAGTTTCGTCTTTTATCCAAAAGACTTCTTCAGGAGTCTTGAGTGAAGAAGTCTTTTGGATAAAAGACGAAACGTTTCAACAAAGAAGAATCCGTCCAGATGTTAGATTCATGTAGAACAGATTTAAATATCTGACCACATGCTGACAAAGCTGAAAAAATAAGAGCCACAGGGAAAAAAAAAAAAAAACTATTTTCCTCTGACTGGTTGTAATAAAACTAGTTCAGTTTTGTTTGCAACTGTTACTTATGAGTAATAAAAAAATTATGTTTCAATACTAATGTTCATTTGTGCATTTATCTGGTCAATAACACCTGGCAACTGAACATTATTGCACCTCTAAAAAAAATATTTTGATGCACAGGTGGCAGTCAATCTGTAAATGATAGACTTTAAAACTTTAAAGTTTCTATAATAAATCCAGCTACATTTTTTTTTTTACTTATACCTCCTTAAGGCATTTTCACCACTTTAGCTATGAAAAAAGTTAGCACAACTATTTGTTATATACAAACTTCGATCCTTTCTTAAAGACCAAGTTTAAAAAAAAGTTTATTAAACTGTGAAATCTAAAAGATGTGGGTACTGGTAAATATGTTGAAGACTGTTCGTGTGAGGTGCTTACCTCTGCTTTCCTGCTATCTGACACTACTACTGCTGAAAGTGGTCTAGACAGTGCCCGGGATCCAGCACGGACCTGTTTAACAGAAGAATAAACAAATAAATGAATAACATTAAGAGGGAAAACTCAGGGCAAAATGAATGTGTTAGTTTATACTGCTCAAGAAAATATTAGTAGAACAGTCTTATCAAGAGTAAATAATATTCAGTTGTGTGAATTGTAATGTGGCAATAACTGTGACTTAATGAATGTTGCTTTGGATTAATCCTGAGACTCACTTTAAAATTGTTTAAATTGACATTATGCAGATTTATGTGCTGTTAAAATCACAGAAAGGCGACAAGAATGGGCAGTTTGTAGCTTATCGTGACTGAACCCATGACGTCCTTGCAGGTGGGTGCACCAGGGGGTCAAAGACGTCCGTGGCTCAGCTAGCTTAGTTAGCAAACTAATGTAGCCTCTGCCCAGAACTCCTTATGCTTAAGACAGACTAGCAGGAAATAGCATTTCTGTTGTTTATCCTGCCCCCAAAAGGTGCGGTGTATATCTTGTAACGAAAATGAATTGAAAACAATGTATTCGTTCATTCATTCATCCAAGCTGCTCACCAGAGAGGGCGTAGAGACGAACTTAGCACAGGCATACATGACGATGACGGGACGTCTAGGTCAGATCAAGCAAAGCAGCGAGGGTATTTTCAATTTCTGGAAAAAAAAAAAAAAAACAAGAATACACAACATCAGTGTTAAACTTCAGTTAGTTAATTAAGACTGACAATTTAAATTAGCATGAATCATCATGCAGCAACGCGGATAAGGTCACAATCATCGGCACAATGTTGTACAAACAAGCTAGCTGGAAAGTTCACAACAAGGCAGCAGCACCTCAGTCAATAAAATTAAAATATACCGGATAAAACTTTGGTATAGTTCGGTCAAACACAATTTGTGCTGGAGAAGGTTAGCTCTCACCGGTCTAATGTAGAGGTCGAAGGCACCGGAGAGACACGCATGCGCAGTTTTACACTTGTTCTGTGAATTTTGAAGCAGACGATAAGCAGCAAGAGCTCGTTACTGCCCCTGGTGGTTCTTTTGTAAAATTACATCACATAAAGTTTGAATTTGTTTGCTTTGGTAGTGCAGCTGCTGGGATCAACATACAGTTGAGGTAAGATGAATGTTTGACGAGTGAGCCAAACAGACTTAAAATAATAATAAACATAACTGTTTATTTTATTATAACGAACAGTTGCTTAATTTTTAATTTTGTGGGCTTTTCAATGCCGTAGTTTTGAAAATCTTTAAATTCTTGAATTTGTGGTTTTATGCTTTCTATATGCCCTGTGATGGACTTACGACCTGTCCAGGGTGTACCCTGGCCCTTGCACAGTGATTGACATGGGCACTGGTGACCCAAGTGACCCAAAATGTAATAGGTGGGTAAAAGATAATGGATGGACGAATGGATGAAGATAATGGATGGATGGATGGATGGTTTCTATATTTCATATTTTTAAGACCAACCTTTATTGTTTCCTCATTAATAAAATAGCATTTCCTCAGATCATATGACATGTTAGACCTCTGTTCAATCATTTTGCAACTTATTGCTATCCTAAATAACCTGTAAGCATTTTTGTTTGCTTGTTTGTCACATTTCTGTTATCTTCTATTTTTGATTTTTAGTTAGCAAGTTAGTTAGCAAGTTAATTAGTTAGTAAGTTAGTTAGTTAGTTTGTTTTAAAGGACTTTGTGTTGTGATTTTTGAACGAAAGACTCTTTATAAATAAACTGAAACAATTAACTCTATGTGGAATTTGGGGAATGTCCAGACGTTTTTTAATCCATAAAATAGCAATTCATTATAATTTAGACTTTTCATATCTATCTATCTATCTATCTATCTATCTATCTATCTATCTATCTATCTATCTATCTATCTATCTATCTATCTATCTATCTATCCATCCATCCATCCATCCATCCATCCATCCATCCATCCATC